GCCAACAACTGTGCCAAGTTTAGAAGAAATTGGTGCAGCGGTTACCAAGATATACACATGTAACGATAAGTGGGTGTGGCTACGCCCATTTTCAAAAAATTTATAATATTCTTATTTGTCGTCTGAAAATTATCACAAATATCAATTTTGAGTGAATTATATTCACTATATATTTATATCGCAGTTTTCGTATTTCTGGAAATTACCGTTATATGGGAAGTGGGCGTGGTTACAGTCGGATTTCGCCCATTTTCAATACCAACCTACCCTGGATTAACGGAAATCTACATACCAAATTTCGTCCAGACATCTCAATTTTTGCTCGAGTTATCGTGTACACGGACGGACGGATAGTCGGACAGACGGACGGACAGACAGACATGGCTTAATCGACTTCTCTATTCATGCTGAGCATTTATGTATACATTTGTCTATATCTATCTCGATTCGTTTTGGCTGTTACAAACAACCGTTATGTGAACAAAATTAATATACTCTTGTGCACAAGTGCGCTCGGGTATAAAAATAAACGCACAAAAGCATATAAACTTGGGCAAAACAAGAAAATTGCTAAAACTATTTTATAAACAATTTGTTTTATTTCATTGACAAAATATATATATTCCAGGTAATGTAAGTAAAACAAAACTATAATCGAAATAGAAGCCTAGGGCATCAATGCTGACAAGATGCATGCAAAACTAAGGGTTAATTCATTTGTTTATACTTTTTGACATAATAGTACCTTAAAGAAAATGCTCATACCGACGTAATTTACACCGATTTCAGTAAAGCTTTTGACAAAGTATGTCACTCGTTACTCATCCGTAAACTCGACCTAATCGGCTTTCAGCCCAGTCTCCTTCAATGGATCTCATCTTACCTCTCTGATAGAACACAAAGAGTTATTGTTAATAATTGTTCTTCCAACATCATTAAAGTTTCTTCAGGAGTTCCTCAGGGAAGCCACCTTGGTCCGATTCTGTTCCTGATATTCATTAATGATATTTCTTCTATAATAAAACATTCAAAAATTTTAATGTATGCCGATGATGTGAAACTTTTTAAAACATTGTCCTCTATCGAAGAAAGGTCTTTGTTACAAGCGGATCTGAACAACGTGGTTAGTTGGTGTAATACAAACTATATGCCACTAAACCTTCAAAAATGTAAAGTTATGTGCATTGTGTACAAATCTCTCTCGGAGGGCTGTTCAACCAGCTGTTAAAAAAAAAAAAGTTTCCGTACGTCATACGGACTGCGCCCCTCGTGTCGGTTGGTCGGGAATGGAGGGTAAAAAGCCGTTGGGATTAATTAATTAAAAAAAAGACAGCCGCACTGAATTGTCAATCACACCTTGTTTAATACACCTTGGCCATGTCGTTCTTTTTTTGAATGTTCATTAATTACAAATTTTAAATAACATTTGAATTTGTGTAGTGTTGTGCGGTTTATTCTTAGTGTGGTAATTCTCTAGGGTGGGGTAACAACCCCTAAAAAAGGTGCGGAAAAGTCGGGAGGGGTACCAAACGACGCGTTTCGGCCCCCCTAATAACAATCCGGAGGGGGGGGCTAATATTATTAACCATTTAAAAGTTATGAACAAAAAACTTTTGTTAAATTTCGTTGTTTACTATGGGCAATTACACCGACAAAGATTCACTAAATCACCTGTTCTCACTTTTTAAACACTATTAAAATATATAATTTAACTTATTTATTAAAGAAACACATAGTTTTATCAACCTAAGATAGATTATTTTGTTATTCCGAAACGCGAGATTCCAAAATAGCTATAGTGCTGCCACTGTATTAGTATTTCGTAATAATTCACTTTTCCTTATGAGATGTGTGCACTGTTCAATGCTTTTCGGTATCTTCTTTCGTTTAATATATATATAAATAATGAAAATTATGAAAATGAAATAGAGAATTACCCTTAGTGTTTGTGTTAAAAATGCAACACCTGAAGCATTGTTTGTTATGTGGTGTTAAATATAATGCCGACACTACTCATTTTTTTAAACGTGCCTCAATGTCCTTGGCGTAAGGAGCGTTGGGAAAGCAGCTGTGGGGTAGAGCTGCAGCGAAATGCCTTGCTGTGCGTTAAACATTTTAAGAGCAGATTTCATAAATGCACCGGGAGGTCACGTTTGATGCCAAGTGCTGTTCCTATGTCCCTTATGCCGGAAAGTCCCTCCAACAACACTGCAACTCATAAATCAAAAACAGAAAATAATATACACATTAAGAAATTTTAACTAAAGAAAATAAATAAATAAAAACAAAACTTCCAATTTACTTAAAAACGTCAACCAGCGAAATGTAATTTTTTATTTTTCCTTACATACGCTCATTTTTATTTTTACTCTCCCGAAAACTTTGACTTTTGTAGGTTTGATGTCAATTTGGCTTCTACCTGTTTTTATTGTACCATGCTGTATATCAGGCTTAACAATCCCTGCAGTAATTCAGACTCACCCTCAGATAGTCCTTATTGTTACCAGTACTAGACGTTCATAATTCCCCTGCCAATGGTTTCAACTGCCATTTTTAGCATGGCCGTGTCATTGGAAAAGGACCAGTCCAATCAACACTGACCGTAAGATAGTCCTGGACTAGCCCAATTTTGGAGATTTTTTTCTGCACTTCGCAGATGCTTTTTCATAATTCGGAAACCCAAAAAAACATAAATTTTATCATTTTATAACCATGTTGGTTCTGACGGAACCCGGACCATCCTGAAAGCTAACAAATAGTTCGAGAGTTGCCATGAGTGCGAGCGCAGGTATATAAGACCCACGACACAGCGGAGTTGAGAGTTACAAGACAGCAAGCTACAAGTAAAGTGAGTTGCGAATAAGCAAGCTACAAGTTTAATTGTGTTAACAAGTTTTGTAAAGCGTTGTAATAGCTTTAACAAGTATTTTAAAGTGTTTTTACGGTATAAGCGAGTATTGTAAATTGTTTGTTGTACCATAAAGTTAATTGTACAACAATTTGGTCATCGTTAGCATTTATTTAACAATCCAGCGATACGAGCCGTAAGATATTTGGGAAATCCCGCAAGGTTTCAATACATTTGGATAAATTTTTGGTTATACTGGCTACACACGACGAACATCTGCGCGCACATATGCGCCAACATGCTCGCTGCCGTTTGCTACAGACGGCTCATAAGTGATTTTGTACTCAAAGCGTAAACATGGAAAGGAAAGACGCGGATGATGCAATTGCAATGCTTTTAGCTTAACTTTTTTATGTATGTGTTACTTAAATTTATTTATACTTTACCTGTATGTACGTACATACATATACTTATAGTAATTTAGCCTCATTTATCAAAAATTCAATTAAATAACATGGCTTGGATGCATTTATCCGCCGATGTGCACACTTCAAGCATCAACACAAAATGAGGTTGTTGTTTTTGTTTCCAATGCGATGCTCGCAAACCGCCCTACAAACGACGAACATGACCCGCAAGCCGCGCATGTGCGCGGATATGTTCGTCGTGTGTAGCCACTGTTAGTGATACATTTTCTTGAGGCGGCGTGGCAACACTGCTACCAAATGGAAAAAAAACCTACCAATTTATACCGTGTTCTGACCGACAACGAAAACACTTTGAAAACGAGTTTTGGGATTGTGGGCTGAAGGCTGTTCACACCGGCTGTTAGTGTTTGCGTTGACATTTCTTGCATCCTCTGGTTACATTTTTGCTGCACAAAAACAAAACCAAAATGCTTTTCCCTCATTTTCTTTTCATTAGCAACCTCTTACTTTCATTCTTATTTTACTTTGACCAGCCAATTAAAAATAAATCCGAAATAGCGTATTAAAGATGACAAAAGATGACTTCCACTTCGATAAATAATGGAAAAAAACTAGTGAAGGCACTGATTGGATTGAGTGGAACGTGAGTTTTCAAGTAGTTTTCAGCGAAAACTGGTTTTCGTTTGACGTTTCAGTTTTACGTTTCAGTTTCAGCAACGAAAACATGTTTCCGATGACGGTCAGAACATGGTATTAGGTACGAAAAGGGTATATTTGGCAACACTGGCCACTACTATAGTGCAGTTTTTGTGTGGAAAAATCCAGTTTACCAATTCGAGCAGTTTTTTTTGCATATAATCATAATTAAATTGCATATAATCATAATATGATTGCATACATGCTTTTATGTAGTTGTATGTCGAAAATGTAAAGTTGACAATCCATAAAAACATTGGATTAACAACGGGACCAACGCAAAAGTTGAATCAGACAAAAGAAAACAAAAAAAGTAATACTATACCAAGAGCAAATTTGTTGCTGACCACCATTGGTAAAAAGCGAACTGCATAAATAAATAAATAACAATAGCCACGACCTGCTCAAAATATAATGTCGGAATCCTATGGTATGTAATTTTATATTGGATTAACCAAGTAGATATGTACATATCTGTGTTCGTATGGAATAGTAGCTTATGTCGAAAAGCTGGCTTTGGTATAATGCGGCATTCCCTTTATTCTTTAAACGGCAAGGCATTTTTGATGAGAATATTGACTTGATAGTATCGAAACTATTTCTGCACGTTTATTTGCCAAAAGTTCTTCAACGGCTCAGCGCCAGTGAATAATTCGCAATCACATGCTGCGGATGCCGCATTATACTAAAGCCAGCCTTTCGACATAAGCTACGACCCAGATTTATATTTGGCAAAGGACTGTCACTACAGCAACACACCCCAAAAACTCTTTGGGGAACTTGTATGCTGCTACAACAACAACAAAAACATAAGCTACTGTTCCATACGAACACAGATATATTCCTCCTTGCTATAATTAATTATTTTTTCGTTTGCAGATTATTTGTTTAAATTTTTAATAATTGGCAGTGCGGGCAGTGGTAAAAGCTGCTTACTCCATCACTTTATTGAGAATAAATGTAAGTTTCATTATGAATCATGGTATACCATGAGTAAGAAATTGCGTATATGTAAATACTATACATAAATGTGCTCTAAAGGTGTTCTTACACGATATGTGTTTGCATCTGTAAATGTTACTTTTTCAATACATATGTATGTAATTGCGTATGTCTGTCAAATTCACAGTCTTTATTTAACTATTTAAAAATACGTTCTTTGAAAATGATGTATATTTAATTTAATTTAATTTTAATTAATTTTTTGTTTAATTTTTTTAGTTAACTAAACTCAGATGATTCCATCTGTGTGTCAGATGAAAATAGAAACATGTTTACAGAAACAAATCTAATTTGCCTTTACACGATATGTTGGCATTTCCATATGTAAAAAGTGGCATGTAGACATGCAAATACATATCGTGTAAGAACACCTTAACGTGGATATATATGTATGTATATTTATATATTTTATTTATGTATTTATTTATTTAGAGTCTATGATTAGTACAATCTTACAGACTGGAATAACCAAAAAGACTTAATAAACTGTAACATTAAGAGTAACATGTACACAAGGTTTTCTTAAATTTTATCCTATTGGCAAAATGTTAACATAGTACACTTTGCATAAAGCATTGAAATCACTCATTAGCCTTAACATTGGTTCATTTAGAGCATATTTCGTCTTACATAAGTCAATCGAAAACATATCGTGTTGACGTAGCATCCTCATTTGTAGCATTGAGTTTAATGCGATCTAATAGAGTGGGGCAGTCAATTTCCCCACTCAAAATATCATGTAAAAACATCAGATCCGAGATAGTCCGCCTACTACGAAGAGTATGCAAGCTAATCAATTCGCAGCGAGATATATATGGTGGAGTGGGATTTTCAAACCTAATTTGAGCCAAACCAAATTTTAACAAGTAAGAGCAGCGCTGTCTTCGGCTATGCCGAAGGCTTCATACCTTTCATGAACATCTGCAAATTTTACTTTGACAGATTACTGCTTTTGAATACATCTGCATACATCG